AGAACTGAGCATACAGAAAAAGAGGAGTAAAATCGTAATTCAATAATTCAGAAAAATGAACAAATAGTAAACGAATAGTGGAAAAGAAAGTGATAGGAGAGCACAGAAGTGAATCTGACCTATTTAACCCTCTGGCTCACTTAATTGACCCTTTACGTCATAAAACCACAATGAAATGCATGTTCCTCTAACCGTACAGCACTGAGCCTGATGTGTGTTTGTGGTTGTGTGTTAGCTATATGGCCCTGAGCTCGATGAATGTGTTTTCTTACCTGTATGTCTCTGAACTCAGCGTTTGTGTTATAGTGTTCTCCCCTCAGCCAGCGGAGGGCCCTCTCAGCCTGCTCATTCCTGCCTAGAGAGAGGAGCCTCCGGGGGGAATAGGGCATGAACACCAACAGCACAACCATCAACAGAACCGGCAGCTCCCCTGCCACAGCCATCCAGTGCCACGGTACCTTCAGACCTGTACATCATGGTGATAAATAGATAATAGGAGATAGTAGGGCCGTAATGCAGTTACTTTGTTATCTGGTCCAATAAGGCTTCTATGAATGGTGCATATTTTCAGAAATGGTTATTTGCTCTGGATAGGAGTTTAGGCTAAATGTCTTTGAACGGTAAAGTAATTTGTATTAAGCAGCATTTATTTGTTCTTACTCAGGGAATAGAGCACCAAAGCTCCAATCACAGCAGTAATCTGAGGGCAGGAGCCCAGAGCTCCTCTCACAGTTTTGTGGGAGATTTCTGAGATGTAAACCTGCAAAACATGAAAACCAATGCAGGTAAAACATCTTCAAACATCCAACAATGGTGATGAAAAGGGGTTAATATGGACCAAAAAAAAAGAGGAAGCTTGCTTATATTATAAATAAGTTTCTGTAACCATGGTGACCTACAGGAATGGATGCCGCTGTCATTCCCCCAGCAACGCCTGTGAGGAAACGCCCCAGATGGAGCATCCACAAGTCCACAGCCCCTCCCATCAGCATGTATCTAAACGCATGTACAGATGCACATTCAGCACTCAGTCATCATGGCCGATATGTGGATGTAACAGCGTTTATCGAGAAACAGACCGTTGAGTGTTACAACGATGTTTTAATGGATAATGAAGTGATTTGGGGAAAAACTTGAGTCATGTATCTTGGTACATTCCCCAAGTATATAACAAAAGGTTTACAAACCCAATAGTGGACGGTATCGCTGACATCATGATGCTCAGCTTCCGTCCAATCAAGTCGTTTAGCAGCATGGCCCCCAACCCCCCTGCGGCTGCACCAAGTGAGTAGATGGAGCCGAACCAGGCGGCCTGCACCGTGTCCATCCTGAGCCGAGGGTCCGCATCAGGGCTCTTCAGCTTCGGCAGGACCGGGGACGAGAAGACCAAAGAGTAACCGAAAGTGAAGTTCCCCAAGACGGCTGCGAAGACGGCCAGGAACAGTTTGGAGTTGTTGATCTGCCGTGGAAAGATGTGCACAAGTTCAAACTCAGAGGTCATGTGTGTAGGTGCTTAAGATTGGGACAATAGGTTCTATAGATAATTCATGCCACTCTTACATAAGCCAGTGCACCAATTTGGCAAGCCTGGTCTGAACACACCCCTTCTTTTCTATTCTTTGATATCAACCGTGAGTTTTCCTCTTCTCACCTCTCAAAGGGCAGATTGCAAAAAGTCCCTAACTTTCTTTGAAGTCGCAAATATAACAAAGCCCGAAAGATTTCAAGGTTTATAAAAGTCTACCTTAATTTTTTCAATTAGTCTTACACTTTTCTAAAATCATGATTTAGATAAAACTACAGACCAGTGGGAAATGTCATCAAATAATCAACTGTAACCCAACTATTATTCTTAGCGGCTTTGGACAACTGTTGAGATATTAAGATCAGTCAAAATCAGTAAACATTTTCCAACCTTGGGTTTAGATGGTGTGCTGGTCAGCAGTGGGGTTTCTTCATCCATGTCAGCAGCAGCAGGACAGCACAGTCCTAATGAAAAGATTTTACTAAAAAAAGAATAACACTAATAACTAATTACTAATAACGCTATCAAAGTCAGCCTTTCTTCATAAATCTCCTTATAATGTTGCTTCTTCCTCAGGCCAGAATGACAAATGGAAACACAACGTTGAGTTGGACAAAATGTGATTGTGAATTGAAAACAGCTTGTTGAGGTGTTTAGCCTGAACTTCCTCTGTGCAGAGTGGTGTTTCCATGCTGACAGACTGGAACTAACAGAGGTCAAACGAAACTGAGACTAAAACTTTTTTTTTGCCACCACCTTTCAAAAATGCAACTAAATGCGGTCATTCCCATTCCCTACTCTCTCTCTCTCTCTCTCTCTCTCTCTCTCCCTCCCTGATTTCCGACTCTATCCACTGTCCTGTCTCTCTAATAAAAGGCACAAAATGCCCAAAAATAAATCTTTTAAAAAAGTGAAGCTAAATTCACATTATTGAAAATAATAATAGATAGGCGTAATAATGTATTAAAGCAGTTAAAACATCTTTTTGATTTTTAACCCACTCAGTGTCTCACAGTGTTGCAACGCGGTCATGTCACATTTCCTGGATTGATCTGGTTCTAAATAAAGCAGAAGAGAACAGAACTCCCTGATATGAGTCAGGAGGAAGAGGGAAAGTACAGGCTGATTCTCCACCCGCTCACATATCATGAGTTTAACTGTTCTGAGCCATCACAATACACACACGTATCAAGGATTACACGCTTATTAGACTGACTCAACAACGTATCATTCAGTTTAATCAATTAATCAAAGTGCCCAGTCACAGGGTGCTGTTTTAGCTCGGTTGGTTTAGAGCAGACTTCTAAAGTATAAAGGCTACAGTCGTCATCGCACTAGTCGCAGGTTTGACTTCTGATCCTGGTTTTATTTGTTGAAATTCATCCCCCACTTTCTCGTTGCATTTTCTGTCTCTCTAAAGCTGTCCATCAGATAAAGGCCCAAAGCCAATACTCAAGAGGTTGTTGAATAAAATCACGAAGAATCAAACATCAGTAAGTGCTTTGTTGTACCAATACACTAACTGTCATGCTGCTGATATGCAGCTGGTTAGTGGTAAATGTGAGCACACTACTGAACACTCAATCAAAGATATATCTAAACGTTTCAAAATTGGGATTGTAGTATTGGAGTGAAAATGGAGCAATGAGTGCAGTTCATTGAAACTGGTGCAGCGATATGCTTCCATTTGCTTAACAAACGTTCAGCATTAGATGGCTGAGTGTTTTTGGCCCTTAGCTGATCTTTTCTTTGTGTTTATGTGTGCAGGAGCATGAGAGAAAGGCAGAAAGAAGCTGACTACCTGTTATATCCATCTGCGTTTCCTCTTTGGTCCCCAGTGATGTTGTGGAAAATGGAAAATGTGTTCTTGTCCAAGCTTGTGGGTGTGTTTTGGAGCCTTGTGTTTGCACATATCTGTAAATTGTGTGGAAGAGACAGAGACCCAGGTTCACAGCTGCATCCATCCCAGATTCAGTTAACCATGGGCGACCTCCGGCTCGGCCTCTGGCACCTGGTCCTGGTCCACATACTTCTGCTACATATTCAGCCCATTTTGGTGCACGGGGTTGATAATGTGTCCCAGAAGCTACGTCGACTCACTGAGCAGGTAAGCTTGCTCTGTGTTTTTTGATATTTCTTTTTCAGCAATGCAAAGTTGTCGAAGCAGCAGTTGAAACAACTAGTGTGATGGATTATCTGCAGAAAATGTCTAAACAACTGCTAAAAACAAAGGCCTGGGACAGTCAGATTGTATCAGAGCATTTCATTTATTGTTGGGATGTACAGTGAATTTAAATATGGTTTTATTTTACCAAAAATACTTTGAATAAAGTTACCCATAACCTAGCATTAAAATATATATTTTAAATCAGAAATCAGGTACCAAACATCTGCAGAAAGTCTTGTGAAAACATTTTTGTGTGTTTGTTAGTTCCAGCAGTTCCAATTGCTGACCCAGGCCCGTTTGGACATGTTGGCCCTAAACCAGGACAGAAGGAACTCTTCATGGGGGCTGGAGAGTCGTGTTCAGGCCCTGAATGACCGCTTGCTGCAGACATCACAGGACCTCAAGGACCTCAAGCAGAGCTCAAGGAAGGAGATAGGAGGTCTCAGGTTAGAGACATGCATCTGTGAGGAGGTTTTCAACTTGTTGTTTTTCAAGGTTTATTTTTGGGACTTTTTATGCCTTCATTTATAGATAGGACTGAAGATAGACTTTGAAATTGGGGAAAGACAGAGTGAGGAATGACATGCTGGAAAGGACCACAGCCTGTGCACATGGGGCACACACAATAACCACTAGGTTACCGGTGCTCCCCAGCTGTTTTTTTGTAAAATAACTGAAGAGTGCAGTCAGTGGGTAATTTCCATCTTGAGGAATCTGTGTCTTTAAGTTTGTCTGCCAAACAAGTCATCATTGCAACAGCTTATAATCACCCAACAACTGTATTTAAACAGTTTTAGATTGCCTTAGACTTGACTTAAGTGATAAAGTCCTTTTATTGTATGTGTGAAAAAAGCTTATGTGTTCCCATGTGTATTATCATCCCAGAGAGTGGAGTAGGAAGCTAGAGAGGAAGAGTAAGCGACTGGAGGGTCGTGTTGCTTTGATGGATCGGAATCTGAGAGAGAGCCGTCGCTTTGCCCACAAACAGAAGGTTGATCCTGGTCAGGATTTCTCCAACCTCACGTTGGAGCTCCAGAGCCAAGAAGAAAGGCTGGCTGCCCTCCAGGCTCAACGGGACGAGCTCCTCATTGGGCTGAGAGGATTGCAGGAATCTCTCAAAAACCAGGTGCTACGTGTGACTCGGCTGGAGGGTCGGCTTGGGGAGGTCCTGCAGATTAAAACCGGAGAATTTCAGAAGTACTACGAGCCACGCAGCAGGAGCCTGATTTATAGAGGAGGGGGACCTGAAAGGATTCTGGATGGACAAACCCAATCAAGACCCGAAAGTGTCACCAACCCGCGGACTGAAAATCATTCCAAGGCCACAGCTGAGAACAGAGAGCCTCAACAGCCCGATCAGCACCAGGGAACACCAAATCAGCCTAAATATCCAAAGGCCCAGAAGTCAAGACCTCAGCCAGAATCATATCTGCAAGTACCTTACAACCCCCAATCGCAGATCCAAGTCCGAGCCAAGACCAAGCCAAGAAAACAGCAAAGATCCCAGTCTCATTTTAAACCCCACAGACATCACTCTAGGTCCCATCCTTTGTCCCAGACTGAAACTCGTTCTAAACCTGCCAATGAGAGGTATGGAGGAGGGAGCAAGAAAATGACACAAAAGTAGAGTCTTCAGTGATCCACAGCCTGCGTCAGCTTCCTGTCAGGCAAAAGATCCCTGCACAACCAGTTCCAAAAAAGGATGCAACCAGTAAGTAATGCTTGTACCTCTGTGCAACTGCTTGATAGTTCAATACTTTTCTTTGTCACTGTGTTTGTATTGTAGCAATTACAAGCAGTTAAGCAGCATGATCAGACATTTCCCCAACAAAACATCCCTCAGGTCGATACTTTCCACACGAGGACTTATTCTTTTATTGGTTTAGAGCAGCCACATTTATCAGAAGTTCAACGCCTTGGTGTTACTTTTCGTTATGTTTTCTCTTGCTGTTCCTCTTTTCCTCTTGAAACCAGTTGGTTGAGAACACTGCAATAGCTGCATTTGACAACAGAGCTGTCACAAAACTACTAGAGAATCCCAGTTTGAGCAAACATTATTTGACGTGTATTTAAACTTTCTAGTTTTCCCCATGTCCCATCTGTTTACTCAGCTGTTAGTCTGTCCATCTTAATATACAGTATATGGTCAATCCCCATAAGAGAGGTTGCTAATCTCCTTCGTCATGATTACCTAACTAGAATTTTATAAATATAGATTAAAAATCCCCCATTTAGATTATATAAAAGTCTAGAGTTATGCATAATTACAGGTGACAGGTGCTGTTGGCTCTGTGTGCCAAGTGTCACTTCTGTTAATTTAACCCATACAGTAACATAACCTCTGTGAAACACATTGTTGATACCTTTTTTTTTTTTTTTTTTTATGCGAATATCTGGCCTGCTGTGTGATTTATTGTATAATTTAAAAAAATTGTAACATACTTATATATGCTAGGCTTTACGGGTTAGAACTATTCTGTAAGCAAGTTTAAGGTGTTTAAAATTAATTCTAATATTTCCAAAATTAATATGATACAGTGTTTTTTTTAAGCATGAGGGTTTTAATTGACTGAACAGATCCTCTCTTCATTCTGTCTGCAGTCTGTAACGTGGACTCCATGCTGTTCTTTCCCATGGCCTCAGCAGAGAACTACGTCACCTTTTCCTTGACACTCCCAGACCTCCATGAACTCTCTGTCTGTTTGTGGCTCCGTGTGGAGGCCCAGCATATCGGCACGCTGCTCTCTTATGCCACAGATGATAACGACAACCAGCTAGTCTTGTATGGACACGGCGCTTCTTCCTCATCTGCATCTTTCTCTTCTTCTCTTCTTCCATCCTCACCTTCTTCCTCCCCCTCCTCTTCTTCTTCCTCCCTGGACTTTGTCATCGGAGACCCTGTTTATCGCCGTCTCCCTGTGTGGTCGCTGCTGGATGCTCGTTGGCACCACCTCTGCATCCTCTGGTCCTCCATCCAGGGTCGTTTCTGGCATTACAGTGACCAACACCTCATCTCCTCAGGCTCCAACTTTAGGAAGGGCTGGGAGGTTCCTGGAGGTGGATCATTGGTGCTGGGGCAGGAGCAGGACATTGTTGCTGGTGGGTTTGATGCTGCTGAGGGTTTTGCTGGGCAGGTGGCTGGGTTTAGGGTGTGGAAACGTGTGTTGACTCCTGCAGAGGTGGAGGGTGTGGCAGAAGGCAGAGGTGTGCCCAGAGGGGTGGTCCTTGGCATGGAGGACATAAAGGAGCTTCATGGAGAAGTGCAGCAAGTGTCATGTGAATGTTTAGAGCATTGTGTGTGAATAAGATACAGAGGAAGAATTAAATCTAGGTTTTTCTTCCAAAACACAATAACTGCAGGGAATACTTAATGTCTCTTCTGTGCCTGTATTGACAGGATAAGAATATATTGTTGTTATTCCTTTTTTTTTATATCCTGTATGTACAGTCTGTTCTCATGTTCATAATGCCATCTCAAATCTCTTTTTGGCATATCCAGGTTATTTTTTGGAAAGTCTGGACAACATAAAACAGAATTACTAAATTAGAATGTTGCAACTCTAACAGTACATGTATTGTCTTAGGCAGAGTGCTCTGTACAAAAAAATAAAAACCACATGATCCCATTTCCAACAATAAAGCGTGTTGCAACTCTTAAAAGAAGCATCTCTCTGTCATCATAATCATTAAGACCTAGAGTTTTATATAAACACGCGTGCAATATCGTGCAATTATCATCAAGTATGATTTTCAGTTTTTAAAAAGGATGACTGAGCTGCTAGATGCACAGAGTGCAGAGACACAGCAGTGTAGTAACATATTTTGCCTCTGTGTCTGGTACACTCATAAATGAGTGGCACTGATGGCACACATGTGCTATGTCAGATTGACACATGCCGTGTCATCTGCATGCCGCATATGAGTGGCATGTGCCGAGGCATATGAATGGCATATGCCAGTCTGGTCCACGCATGTGCCGTGGCATATATCGCACGAGTGGCATATGCCGTTCTGGTCCACTCATGTGCCATGGCATATGCCGCATATGAGTGGCATATGCCGTTCTGGTCCACTCATGTACCGCAACAGTTGCCGCATATGAGTGGCAGGTGCCATGGTATATGAGTAGCATGTGCCACAGCACATGAATGGCATATGCCGGTCTGGTCTATGCACCTGCCGCAGCATATGCCGTATATGAGTGGCATATGCCGGTCTGGTCTATGCACCTGCCGCAGCATATGCCGTATATGAGTGGCATATGCCGTTCTGGTCCACTCATGTTCCGCGGCATATGCCGCATATGAGTGACATATGCCGGTCTGGTCTATGCACGTGCCGCAGCATATGCCGTATATGAGTGTCATATGCCATTCTGGTTCACTCATGTTCCGCGGCATATGCCGCATATGAGTGGCATGTTCCACCGCACATGAGTGGCATATGCCGGTCTGGTCCATGCACGTGCCGCAGCATATGTTGCATATGAGTGGCATATGCCGGTCTGGCCCACTCATGTGCCGCAGTATATGTCACATATGAGTGGCATATGCCGTGGCACATGAGTGGCATATGCTGTTCTGGTCCACTCATGTGCAGGGGCATACGCCAACACCGTTTGAAACAGGCCTTTGAGCTTGGAAACGTAGTATGTTCAAGGTCTTAGGATGATCCACAGGAATATTCAGGGAGAAATGAGCAACTGTGTCGGAATGGCTGGTGCTAATTTAGAAGTAGTGACTTCCTGTTGTCAACAGGTGGCCATGTGACTAAAAAAAACTTAAACCGTATGAAGTCAGGCGGGCCTTGTATCTTGCATGACAAGTGCTTTCAAATAGGGATGCTGTGAAATCTGAAATACTGTAAAAAATGTACTTTGACTGCACCTAACGCACTTCCTGTAGGCCTACATTTAAGACTACGGTAATAATGTAATTTTTTTCCCGTCTCATTGAGCTTCATGGCTCACCAATTTTCGTTCATGTAGGTTAATCGCAGTACCCTGAGTGACGTTTGGGGGCACTCTGGAGCCATTCGGCGACGGCCACGTGCCGAACCACTCTCATATGTAAATTTCACGGGAGGCTGAATTTTGGGTGACGTTTGAGGAGTTTTCATGCATGTTAAAGCCCCCAAATAAGCGATTCATTGTGGCGAGGGAGAATCATATCTCCTTCGGTTTCAATATGGTTCGTCGCGCCGAGGTCGGTGCTCGGGCCCTAATTAACAACAGAAACAGACTTTCAACTTTCCATCATTCAGATTAAGATTTCAGATTAAGATTAAGATTAAGATTTAAGATTTAAGATTTACTTTTTTATTCATTTACTTCATCATCAGTCAAGAGTTTTAGTCGAAAAAATAATTTAACTACAAATCCCAGGATGCATCGCGCATACAGTGTTTTGGCCCTGCACGCGACCCATCCGAAACGTCACGAGTTGCGGGGTCGATCATGGGGAGCTGAGAAAGAATAACAGAAGTTAGCTAGCGAAACAACTACACTTTATGAAATAAAGTAGGGACATTCTGGAAGAGCTACCGGCGGCCAGCATGGCCAACATTACAAAGAAAGTGTCGTGGTCCAGTCGGGCCGACGAGTCCGGGGCAACCGGGGAGGCGACACCGCTGCTTAACGGCGCCGAGCAGCGGCCACTCTCCAGACAGGTACTGTTAGCATGTCGGGCTAAAGTTAGCCAAAGACCCCTACAGCATCATTTAAGATGCTTTTGTCATGTTTTATAAACCGTTTTAAGGTAAAGATGCATGGGTTATGTACATTTTGAACGAGTTTGAATGCATTGCCACCTTTAAAATGTTTATTTTCGCGTTTGATTTCTTGTGTTTGGTTTGTTTTTGCGGATGGGCTTCTTATCAGATGGGACAACAAGCTTTTGATTGAGACTGAAAGTAAACTGCTTGAAAGTAATTGCATTAGTGGGTTTGTGCGATTGCTTGCATGATGCACTTCAGAATTCTTCGTTATAAAGACCAGAAGAGACTTTTGTGACGCTTGTCCATCTGTCTTGCTGTATTTAATTATAAAAGGCAGTCTGCAGGAAAACATTACACTTTTCTAACAGCTTAAAGGTTCACATCACACATGTAAAGACTAAAAATTATGATATTAATTATTTCTTAAAGTGACAGACTATAAATAGGAATAACATTTCATCATTTAAAAGCAGGTCATAAAGGTGCTACAGGTTGCCTACTTTGAGTCTGCTACTGTGCGATTTAAATGTATTTCATGGTTTAGGAATTATTTTAAGTCAGTCTAGGTCTAATAATTTAATAATAAGTCAGGGTAGTTGCCCTCTTCAGACTGAAATAATGGAAAATGCAGCTTCCTGTTTCCTTGAGACAACAGTATCTACTTCCTTCCATCAGGACCAAAAGTTGCTCTTTGTTTTGTGAATGTTCTTCAGTTATTCTAAGTTAACATTTTGAAACATCTGCCTTTGCTTTAACTCAAGCCACATTGAATTAAATAACAGTATGACAAAAAGATTAGTAGGTTACTTAGCAGAAGAGTTTTGCAACCATTTCACATTTTATTCTACATGCGATGTGGTTTCTTATACCGCTTGAGTCTCTACATACATCCCTAAAAAACACAAGCCTACAAATTGCTACAAATAGCAGTATACATATGTATATATTTCTGTTACTGTCTGTGGTGTCTGTAGCTGTCTGGAGGAGGAAATATATTTCAAATAGGCAGACTCAGCACGGTGGATTTGGAGGAGGAGATGACATCAGAGGAGGTAAAGCCCGAGCTCAAATTGACACCAATCGCTTTTCTCTCTCTCTCTCTGTGTCTGTCGTTTCTGTCGCTCATCACTCCATCAAGACCTCAAGAGACATATCTTTTAGACTCCTGACGCAATGTAAATAAAACCCAATCTTTCTAATTAAATCAATGAAAAGGGATGAGTTTGAGACTTAAAAACTTGGCAGTATCAGGCAACATGTTGAGTGGACTTAATGTGAGTCAGCCTCAGCCTCATGTGTGCACAGGGAGAGTGAGATACTGTAGAGCCTGAGATAAGTTGAGCTCTCAGACTTTATTTCATTTCATTTAAGTTCAAGTCTGGTGTTGAAAAGAGCTGCTGATGGGCACAGAGACAGCTGACTCATCCAGTGAATAAAAGGCACGTGTTTAAAAAAAAAAAAAAATTCAACTGATAATGTGCTCATGGCCTTGACAGCTCAACCATTCAGTGTTTGTGGTCAGAAACTGATGGATGACACACTGTGGGGACTGATGGGAAAACTAGATAATGATTACAGCTTCTACATGTTAGAAGTTTATTCCAAACTAGTCTCATACATTAAGTTATCAAGTCTACATTCTGAGAATTGTAAGATTACAGATACAACTCTTTTTTTTTTTCTCATTTAAAGTTTTTTTTATTTAAGTTCAACTTTAAAGACAGCTTACAGTATGCATTAACATTTTTTTCTTTTTGTTCAGACATTTGCAAAATCCGACAAAAAATAATAATAATAAAATAAAATTAAAAATTAAAAAAGAGAAAAAATATATAAATAAATAAAAACAGACAGAGAACAACAACAAAAACACAAACGAGGTCACAGAGGTAGTATATATTATATAGCTTAGATTACAGATACAACTCTTAAATTTAAGACACCAAACCCAACCTGACACTTAATTATTGTTTTCACCTATTTATTTATTTATTTTTTATGTTTTACGTCAACATGTCTTTTCTGACTAATTGGTGTGTTAAGGTGTTAACAGTCAAATATTTTGATGCACCATTGGCTCAGTTTAGAATGAATAAAATAAACCTGGCTGTGTAGTTTGTAGAGGACAGTCTGAAGATTTGTTTCAGTTTACAACTAGCAAATGACTATAGCTAGCTACTAGCGGTTCTTCTTTGACTGATGGAAATGTGATGCCCTGCATGTGATTTGCATGATTGTTTTATGGTCTGTAGTCTTTTGCATGTTAGTTGCTTGATTTGCTGCTGATTGTGTGATCACGCAGCTGTGTGACAGCTACGCATTTCGCAATGCATCAAAAAAATTAACTTTAGAATTGCATGTAATTGACTCTTATGCATGTCACCTCTTCACATCAGTGTTTCACTCGTCACTGCATCTTCCATCCACCTCAGATTAATTCTTCATTATCTACGTAAACAAATCTATGAAACTTTTCCTCTTCAGTTCTTCTTGAGTCATAAATGTCTTCTTCATGTCGTTTGAAATGTTGCAGCTTTGATCACTGCTGTTTCATCCAAACACTTAGCTTCCTCTGATTTCAGTGACTTTAGTTCCTCTCATGATTAAAAAGTCATGGTGTTGGTTTATCAGTGTGGGTGTTGTGACCTCTGTTCTTTCTTTCTTTTGTTTACCTCTGCAGGAGTCTTTAAGAGGGCGGCCTAAAGAGATCGCTCATAACGAGAAGCTGCTGTCGCTAAAATTTGAGGTATGAAAGAAAACACAGTTCTGATTATTAAAAGGGAAAAACCCTGATTTGACATGACGACGTTATTGCTGTTTAAAGCCTTTATATGTGTGTGTTGTATTTGATACTTCAAAACAAAGAAATAAGTCATAAAAACAAAGGTAGAGAAAATGCAATATAGGCCAAAGAGTCCAAACAGCATTTCTTGGGCAACAAATAATACAGTAATCTGCTCAAACGAGGTGGAAACTTGCAACATTCCATAAAATCTGCTTTGTATTTAAAAAGAAATCTGTGAAATGTGTTGGCATTCACCCAAAAAGGCATGTACCCAACCGCCTGAGGGTGAAGCTTGCAGGGTGTCCCACGATAGGAGACGCTACAATATGCTACGTTACTACACAACACGATATGACTGGAAACGATGCGTTTGGAGCATCAGTGTTTGATAATTGTTTACACACACACACACACACACACACACTCACACACATTCTGTTTATCAAGAAAGATTGAAGATTTGAACGCTACATTTATCCTCCTCATCATCTCCTTTCTCTTTTTTTTTAACTGATTGATCGTATTTACTGTGTTCTTACAGAGTCTGGACTATGATAACATTGAGAACCAGCTTTTTCTGGAGGAGGAGAGGAGAATGAGTTACATGGTAAGTTTGTCGTTTTGATACAGTCATAATATTTCAGTGTCTACACATTTATTTCATGTCCTACTTCTCCTGTGCCTCTTCTCTTCCCGTCTTTCCTCTTTTTTTTATTTTTAGGGTTTCCGCTGTCTCGAGATCAGTCGCTGGGTCGTCTGTGGTCTAATTGGTTTCTTCACTGGCCTCATCGCCTGCTTCATCGACATCGCTGTGGAGGAACTGGCTGGAATCAAATACCAAGTGGTCAAAAAGAGTATCCTGAAGCGCTGTGTCAGCAACATGCTAATCACGGATGTCTACGGTTTTCTATGTGAAGACACAAATAATGATAATTTTGCTTTCCCCTTGTATTTCATTTTGAAGTGATCAACAAGGGACACAGATCGGCGCATATCTGCGTTTAAAAAAAATAAGCCGATACTGATAGTCACTGGATATGCTAATATCGGCCGATATTATCAGCTGGCAAATTAATCGGTCGGGCTCTCGTAAAAGGTGAAATGTTTGATGTCACAGAGTGGAGACTTCTTTTGAATCATCATCTGAGCTTCCTGCGGTAGATGTGTCATTCTTTTCTGTCACTGTAGCTGCAGCGAGACGCCGTGGTCAGTACTGTTTCTAAGCAATGGTGTCAACAGGGGGAACATAACACACGTAATAACTTTTGACCTCAGTTAACACGATGCTGACAGCCATAGTATTTAAAAAAAATCTGGCCTAGATGTAGTAATTTTAATCATTTAATATTTATGTTAATTCCTGAAAGTCATTTCTCTTTGAACCTGCCTGGCTTTACGCTTTGGACTGTTGGAGCTATTTAACCTACAGTATATCGTCCGCTAGTCGTATCCGTTATTGAGGCTGATTCCTCCATTTGGCTTGCTATCTTCTAAACGCTTCTTTTTTGTTGACTACGAGTGCGACGAACATTTTGTAGCTGGAGCCTCAGCCGCGTGGCCACGTCGTGCCTCAATCCGCCCTGTGCTAAGAAGTCTTTCCTTGACCTCCGACTCCTCACAGACATAGAGAATTTCACCGAAGTCGGTGGCCTCTCCATCTCCCTCATTCTCTGGGCCGTCCTCAACTCTGCCATCGTCATGGTGGGCGCAATCATAGTAGCATTTTTTGAGGTGAGAATGAAGGAGAAGTAATGTATCCCTATTTAATTGTCTTCCTCTTTTTGTGTTTCCTCAAATGTGAGTAAAGTGTGAGCTGATTGGGCAATAGAATATCTGCACCAGTCGACTCCACAATGGTGAAATATTGAACTTTTGTTGGTTCTGTTTCTCTTTTTCTGCCAGACTGGTTAGCCACAGCTTGCTTTGGTTTGGTTTGTGCATTTTTAAAAGGATATCCTTTATAAAAGATATCCTTCTGATTCCACTAGTGTCAGCTGTCAACACTATTTCATGTCAGAATCACAGAGTGTAGTCTCATTATCAATATGTTAAAACCACTATTCTCACATCCTCAGACATCTGTCCTGAAATCACAAACATTGTATTTCTCTAGATTTTCCATCTTCCTTCCTTTAAACTCTTGTTTTTTCTTCACACTCCTTCAAGCCCATAGCAGCAGGAAGTGGTATTCCTCAAATAAAATGTTACCTGAATGGAGTCAAGATTCCCCGGGTGGTACGACTCAAGGTAAAGGCTGCTAGAACACACACACACACACACACACTCTCTTGGACTTTAAAATCTGTAACGTGTTGTGTGTTTGTCCTTGCAGACACTGTTAGTGAAAGTGTGCGGTGTTATCTGCTCAGTGGTTGGTGGTCTTGCAGTTGGAAAGGTAAATCACCCCTAATGCAGATTCAAAACAGTTACAGTTCTGATTGTTTTTCTTTTACAGACACCATTCTGATACTTTGTGCCTGAAC